CGGAAACCCGGATTTTCAGTTCGCCCTTCGCGACGAAATTATGCGGCAAACGCAGGGAAAACAGGAGTCCGTAACGGACTTCCTGACGTGTTTAAACACCCTTTACGATCGGTTATCGCCGCCGTGGCGCGAGAAGGAGAAGGTCGGGTACGCGCACCGATACATGCTGCCTCGGTTGCAGACTTTAATACCTCGGGACGCGGTAGACAATATGGACGCGCTCGAACAATGGGCTGCGCGTGCGGAGGCTAGCTGCCGCGCCGCACAGAATTATCGTGCTCCGCCTCTGCCGGAACGGTCCTTCTTCCCGGATCTCGCTTACCGAACGCCGAAGGGCGCGAACCGACAGGGGGACGGGCAAAATCGCGATGCCGTGGCTGCTCTCGGCGTGACTAACGCAAATTCGAGCGGAGCGGGGGCAGGCGCGAGGAGGGCCAATGCCCGCGGGCCGAAAGAAAATACCCCGGCCGTAACTGCCGCACCTGCGGCGAATGCGTCGGGCACCTCATCGGTCACCACAAACGCGACGCAGGCCGCAAAATGTTGGAATTGCAATTCGACTGGGCATTTTGCGCGAGATTGTAAGGCCCCGCCGCGTAAACACTGTTATTGGTGTGGAAAGGCCGAATACACCACCCGCACTTGCCCGACGTGTTCGGGAAACGAGTAAAGGAGTCGCGAACCCGGGGCAACCCGACTCCTACCCCCTCCGCCCCTGAAAAGTCGTTACCGATAGGGCACCGCGATGCCGCGTATAGCGCATTTAACGAACCGGGAGGCTCGGCCTCTCTCCAGTTTCTGCGCATCCAAATCAAGGGATTTGAGATCAGCGCTTTAGTAGACTCGGGTTCTAGACGTACGTTCGCGGGACCGGAAATTATCGCATTAATTAAGCAGCTCGGTTTTAAGTTCAATCCGGCCGGCGGCAGGCGCGTGACGACCGCGACCAATCAGACGGCGAGAGTAAGGGGGGAAGTAAGGGTCCCGATTAGCGTGCACGGTAAAACATTGAACATGAGAGTTCATTCACTACCGACATTAGCGTTACCGTGTATATTGGGTGTGGATTTCCTGACGGCATTCGGAGTAAATATCAATTTCGCGAACGGTACTTGGAATTTCGTTGAGGATTCCTCGCGATCTTACCCTTTTGAGAAGGGATCTTCTAGCTCTCTCGCGAGCGTTCGAGTGATAGTGGCCGGAGATGACAGCGTGGACATCGAGCTAGGTCAATCGGGGGAGGGAGAAGGGACGCGAAAGCCAGAAGCGTCGCCTCTCGTTTGCTGCGGACTAAGCGAGGTAACTCCCGAACAACAAAAACAGTTGCAATCGTTTCTAAAGTCACAAATTGCGGGAAGTACGGAGGAACTCGGAGCCACCAC